TGACAGCACCAACCTCAAACTGCTTTTTATTTTTTCTCACTCTTAGTGTTAGAGGGAGGGTGCTGGTGGGGAGATGACACCAGGGTGGGTGTCGGGGTGAGGGAGGGAAGAAGAGAGGAGAGGAGGAATAGCAGCTGGTGGCAGAGAAGAAAGCACCTGTGAAAGTGCTAAGATGCTATCTACTGGACAGAAAGAACCAGAAGTGTGAAGGGCCAAAAAAGTGCCTAATGGCAGATTAGGGGCTTGTTGTCAGCCTGCTGGGCTACAATCCCTGCTCTATGCCACTAGCCTAGACTTTGACCTCAGGCAGGTCACGTGATCTTTCGAATCCTCAGTTCTTTCACCTGTGAGATGGGGTTGCCGCACAGGGTTGTTTTGGGGGTTCAGTGAGGTAGTTCAGACTGGCCTCTGTTACTTGTAGCAAGGGGCCAGAATTTGGCGGGGGGGGGGGGGGGGCCTTCAGAAAAACTTCCCTTTAGGGTTGCTTGATGCTACTTATTTGCACATCAGTTTGCCATATGTACTCTTATTTTTCCTCTCAAAAATCCTATAAGGCAGGTTGGAGAGATATTAATCATTCCCATATATACAGAAGAAATAGATCCCCAGGTGACTTGGCTAAAATGAAGATGTTTTTCCAACCAGAGCCTGCCCTCAGGGCCACCCATAGGAGAACCACCAAGAAAAGTATCTTATGGGATTGCAATTGTATCTCAAACGCCAATACAGAGAGTGATATTCAAATTGTTTCCTGGAAATAACTAAAACCCAAATTTCTTGGAAATTTCCTAGAAGGAGTAGAACCAGAAAGGGGAAAAGCAATTATAAAGCATTCATGGAAGATTTTTTTCCCCAAAATCCTCTTTCTAATAAGTTTTGATGTTGAAAGAAAAACTGAATGCCTCATTTTAGATTACTTTAAAATTAATCAGGGTTTCCCTGGTGGCGCAGTGGTTAAGAATACGCCTGCCAATGCAGGGGACACGGGTTCGAGCCCTGGTCCCGGAAGATCCCACATACCGCAGAGCAGCTGGGCCTGTGCGCCACAACTGCTGAGCCTGTGCTCTAGAGCCCACGTGCCACAACTACTGAAGCCCGCACCCCTAGAGCCCGTGCTCCCCAAAAAGAGAAGGCACCGCAATGAGAAGCCCACGCACTGCAACGAAGAGTAGCCTCCGCTTGCTGTAACTAGAGAAAACCCGTGCGCAGCAACAAAGACCCAACACAGCCAAAAAAAAAACAAACCACAAATAAAATTAATCAATTATTCATCAACTAGTGCTCTTTTGGTGTTGAGTAATCACCAAAACACTATTTCCCTATTGTTATACATGTCTGTGAAGCCAGATGTGAGGGGAAAAGTTTTAGAAAAATAAGAACAAATGGAAAGAATGGAAAGATATTAGAAATACCAAAAACAATGTCCACTTAAGAAAAGTAAGAAAATGTTGCATTGAGACAAGATTAGCCAAGCATCAGTACAAAAAGTTAGAGACATGGGAAGGACAAACATACTAAAATCGAACTAACTGGGAGAAAGCAGAGCTGAGTAGACTCAAGTCGGACCAAACAAACTTTACTGTGTTACGGTCCTTAAAAGTTTTTTTTTTCCAATGAGTAATTCAGAATAATTGTGCCAGTTATTTGTATGTAAATGGGCTTTTAGAAAGCATGACTGAGCAGTTCATTTTTATAGTCATTTAATTTATGTTTATAATATTTTTAAGCACAATTAATTTGCACTATAAGGCACAGACCTGATTTTTGTTTCAGAAGGTTAAACACTGGCCTATTCAAATGATGAATTCCAACTTAGCTGGAACTGGAGAAATGAAACTTTGCGGTGCAGTTCATAAATGAAAAGGCGTCTTGGACAACAGGACAAGAGCAGGGAGATCAGTGCCTGACACACTAGGTGCCCCATACACAACTGGTGAACAAATTCCCATTGAATTCAGTTACACAGGATGTGAATGAGGCTTGTCATTACTCCTCATTCTGGCTACCAGAAATAAAGTGAAAAACACAAAATCTATGCAGTCTGCAGAATCCCAGTGGCCATTCAGTTATTAACGTGTCAGAAACCTAGGTGTCCACTTGACATCTCTCTCTCTCTCTCCTTGTTTAGGCATCACCAATCCTTTACTACATTCTGTCAATTTCACTTTGTAAATAGATCTCCCATCCTTCTGTTTCCCCTGCCACTGCCCTAACCCCAGCTGTTCGTTCTCTTGCCTGGACAACTGTAATAGCGTTCCAAGGGCTATACTTCATCCACCCTGGGCTCCTCTATTCACTGCCCACGATGACATCAGAATTATCCTTGCAAAACACAAGTCTGATTGTGTTACTGTTGCCCTCCTGCCAATACTGGCCAAGTCCCTTCACTCTGCTCTTAGAGTTAAGACTAGAGGTCTCTCCCTGCAACCTGCTCTCTCATCACTTCCTCTTCCTTCTCTCACCTCAAGCTAGTTAATCCTTGAGTTCCTCTCCCTTTGTCATGCCTCTCCCTGCTTGGCAAATGCCATTCCCTCTTCCCTCTGCCGGGAACTTACTTCCTGTTCTCTCTCTGCTTCTCCTGCCCTGCTTCTTCATCACTTACTCAGATCTCAGTCTGTAACACTTCCTTCAGAACCCTGACCCCAGTCTTGGCAATTTTGCCCCTCTTTGGTTAGTTTCTTTTCCTTCGAAGCACTATTCTCTGTCTGTTGTTCAACTGTTTGATTAACGTCTGTCTCTCTAGCTGAATCACAAATTCCAGGAGACTGGGGACTCTACATACTTTTCCTCACCATCGTATCTCTCTGGCATCTAGCACAGTGCCTTGCATACAGAAGGCACAAATAAATATTTGTTGAATGAATGAACTTGATGAATACTGGCTTGTTATTCTTAAAGGATAATCTCTCTGTTTCATTCTCTGCACGATTATCTCAAACCAAAGTCATCAACAAGCATAACTGTGATTTACATCTAGTACGTTTTTATGAATGACAAACCAGAACACTATTACAGTGCCAAAGAAAACTGAATTGTTTCACACTTCTGCGTTAATTTTTAAAAACGTTTCCTCACTTCTGCATGAGTTATTAAAATAAGCATACATGCTTGCATCCAAACATTTCATTTTTCCCCCCAAGATGGTTCATCCTAAAGATAAAGAAAATAAAAGCTTCACTTGCTTGGGAAATTATAAATTGCAGTCCCAAAGAAGGTTCAGAAATGCAGTTTAAGATCCAACTAAATAAAAGCCTTGGTGAGGGTAATTCCTTGGCGGTCCAGTGGTTAGGGCTCTGTGCTTTCATTGCCGAGGGCCAGGGTTCTATCCCTGGTTGGGGAACTAAGATCCCACAAGTCACGTGGTGTGACCAAAAAAAAAAACCCATGCAAAAAAACCCCCAAACAAACAAAACAATAAAAGCCTTGGTGAACTGATGGTTCACAAACAAACATCCTTTGAATGACTCAAAGCAATGTAAATGAAAATATCTTAGCAGAAAACAACACATTTCAGCATTAGAAAACAATATTCTGATTTTAGAAATGTCAAGACGAAATAGCATTTGTGCAAGCAACTTACTCCTAAACCTAGAGGTAAATGAAAGTTTAATTCTCAGAAAGTTCTCCAATATAATACATCTTTTGCTAATTACTTTTACATTTAAAACCAAATTGCTCTGGATAAATAATTGTATGCCAAAAGGTCCATAATGCTGTTCAACAAATTGAATAATCTGCTTTCATCATCATGTAGTAGAAGTCTCATTACAGTAACTTTCCTAGTACTTAGGTGGTATAATTTGTACAATAATTACTGAATATTCTCCAAAATAAATACCTCACATCAGAGTAATGTAAATGGCCAGTAAATCACTATTACTTAAATAAGTCTGAACCAAGCTATCATTTCCCACCCTACGATGCATGCCCTGGCAAAGAATTACAAACATGAATATCTTACAGCTAGAAGAGAGACCTCTAGTGTGTGTCAGAGAACTTTATATTGGGCTTCAGGCAAAATTAACACAGCAAAATCACTGCAGTCATTTTGAATACTGTGGTGGGAGATTTTTTGCCAACTATCATTCACGCTCGATTCATTTCAAACTTCCTTCCCAGCAAATGTATGATATTTTTGCCTAATGAGTGATTTTCTTTTTATAATCATAAACCAATGAAGTTTTCTCTGGGATGCAAAGTTTTAAAATTCTACAATCACCTTTGCAACCTAATTACTAAACACGAAACCTACTGTCATCAGAACAATTGCTAACAATTCTTTCCATTCAAGCAGCAGCAGGACTCCTGAGCCTAACTGTTGTAGTCAGTGTGCAGTCTTCTGAACACCAGCCCCTCATGGTACTCCAACTGCCACACAAACATAAACACAAGGAATAGATCGGCACGTTGCCCATTATCCGGGAGACAAATGGATCCACCACTATTTCAAATTCACCAAGTAGATTAGGGATTAGTTTCCACAGATTCCCATATATGCAGGTAAATGCCTTGATGTAAAATCAGATTTAATGAATCATTCGATGGCATCAGCCTCAGCCTTTAAAACTCTTTTATTTTCTCCTTTTCCCCATCAAAAACGCATTTGAGATACACATAGAAAATGTTTCTCTAAAAAACACACACATACACACAAAACAGGAGGTCTCTTAAGGAGTCTACTGCTGAGAAGGTAAAAGCATTTTGCTCATTTTTAATTTGCTAAACAATCCAAGCATGCTTGGACCCAGAGGGTATTCTCAAATAAACTTGTATCTCTAGCTGCCAGCTTAGTTGATTGAAAACAGAAGGCAAACGTTTCTTAAAGAATGAGTATGTTAAACTGTTATGTCTCTCCCAGCTCCACCACGGACACACACACACACACACACACACACACACATACACGTCAAGGATTTGCTTGAAAGCAGCGCATTCTATGATCTTAGAGGTAATGCAGCGTTTGTACCAAATTACTTCTGCCCACTGCGGTGCACCTCTGAGCGAGGAAGCCAATGGCATAGGGATACTGGACAGTTCCTGCGTGCCTTTCTCCACGCACAAAGCCGACATCCAACTTTGCTCACTTAGTTGGCTCCCGCCCAGCCGGCCCCCGAAGCACAGTCACGGTGAAAACATTTTGATACCAGAAAATCATTTCCACGGAAGTGCAAGTGTTCGAAAGCACAAAGGCAGATACCATCGACCCGCGCTAGCTAGCAAGTTGCGGTACTCGGGGCGGCGGCGCGGAGCACGCGTCCAGGTAAGGGATTCCTGCACCACGGCTCCCGTCTCCTCTTCCTGGATGTTTTGGGGGCTCGACCTCACTTTTCACGCAAATTCACCAGAACGCGCCCCCCACCCGGTTCACTTTCCAGGAGGCGCGAACTCTATTTTCCAGTTAAGTCCCTCTGGGGGGCGGGCGAGGAAGCACACTTCACAATTTCAGTAAAGAAGGGCGGCGGGGCGGGTGGGCTGGCGGGGGGTGGGTGGGGAAGAGGTCAGAAAGGAGCCAAACTGCATCCCTCCCGCCCACCTCCGTGCCCCAAGCGCCGGTTCAGACGGCGGAGAGGGGAGGCGGCCAGGAAACTCTGTCCCTTTAAGGGAACCTCGGCCGCCAGAAGGGGAGGGAACGATGCGGGCTCCGGACTCTGCGCTGCAGGCACCGCGGAGCAGAGGCGAGCGCTGCAAAGCCACAGCCATTACCTGCAGCGCTCACATTCTTCCTCCACCCCGGCGCCCCCTCCCCGGTCCCCGCCTCCCAAGGAGAGTTCTAATCCGGAGCACGTGCCATGCCCTTTATCAAGGGAGGAGGTGGGGAGGAAGAGGAATGAGAGCTTTTTAAAAAATAAATGAAACGTTTGAACCCAAAGCGGGGGGGCTGGAAAAGGGAGGGGGTGGTGGGAGGGGGCTTTAAAGGCACCCGGGTGGGCGGAGGCGGCGAATCCGGATCAGCCCGGCCGGAGACGGACGGCGGACAGCGCTGGGCACCCGGCGCGGCTCACAAAGGGGAGCGGCGCGGTCCCGCCCGGGTACCGGGGGAAGAAAAAACCGCCACGGGACCCAATCCACTCGGCAGCCACAATGGCGTCTTTCACGGGGTGTCCGGGGGCGCCGCCGAGGCTGATGCGGGGAGGCGCCGGCGGTGCCCCCTGGCAGGAGCGGAGCCGCGGGCGCCGCCGCCCCCGCGTACCCCGAAGGGCCCAGCGCTCGGAGGCTCTCGGCGGGGCCGGTTTGCGGGAGCGGAGCTCGGCGCAGGGGAAGAAAGGGACGCGCGCGGTTCGGGCGAGGAGGGCGGGGGAGGGAGCGCGGGGGGGGAGAGCGGCTGCAAAGCAGCCGCCGGGGAGGCTGGCGCGCGAGTGGCGGGCGGACGGGCGGCGCTGGCACAGGCTCCGAGAGCCGCGACCACTCCGCTCCGAGAGCCGGAACCGGGCCCCCAAATCCGGAAGCCCGGCCCTGGCACGCGGGCCGCCGCGGCCCCGGTGGCCGCGCCGCTCCTGCCGCCTGCTCCGCCCCGCTCGCGCCCGCTCCCTCTCCGGGAGGAACGCCGAGGAGCAGCGAGAGCAGCCCCGGAGGAGGCGGCTGCCGCTGCCCCGCCGCCGGTCCGAGCGGCTCCCGAGCCGCCGCGGCGGGCTGTGTGTGTGCGAGTGTGCCGCGCTCTCGCCCCATGCCTGGCACATGCGTAAAAGCGAGTTGCGCCCAAAGTCCCAGCCATACCCTCCTTAGCAAATAATAACAAACCCAAACCGTCAGATCTTACCTGAAACATTGAAGCACAAAGTCTCTCTCCAAGTCCCCTTTTCCTTTTCCTCTCCCCCCTTTTCCGATTTCTCTCCCAGCGATCTGCTCGGCTCGCCACACCAGAGAGAAATGCAATAGCTTGGCTAAGGTAGACAGAACAAAATACAGAGAAGAGTTGCTCCAGGGCTTTGAAACCCCTCAAGGCAAGGATCAGGATACAATTAGCTCATGCCTCTACCTCCAGTCTAAATCAATCTCCAAAATAAAACTTAAATCAAATTAACTGATCACAGGGCAGACAATTGATCTCCTTCAAAAATAAAGCTCTACATAGACGTATAGATAAATATACATATAGGAAATTTTTTTCCAGATTTTTTTTTTTTGGTGGAAAAACAGTCTTATTCCAGCCTCCAACTTCCTTTTACCCTCCTCTTGCACAGAAAAGCTGATTTTAATCGTTGTGATTAGTTTTGATGTAACGTTTCCGCAGGCGATTTCTGCAAATGGATGGAGTGTTTCTTTGCCAAAAGAGGGAAAAGCAGCAGATGAAGATAATTATAAGGATTGTTGGTTGTTTCTTTTTGTTTGTGTTTAGGGCTCTCTCTTCACTTTCTCAAGTTGACCTGACATTGCTGTTACACTAAGGTCGCGCAACTTGTTGATGAGGATCACCGCCCTTTCTGATCAAAGGATAGGTGACAATTTGGCAATAGAGCAGCACATTTTTGGTTCCTTTGGCGACATAACGTCCCAAATGACGTGGATAAAAATAAGCACATGCAGTCTGCTTTGCCCCAATCAAGTCTGAATCAGCGCCTGGGGGTGATACACAAACTCATTTCAAATGTTCAACCATGCAGAATTGCAAAAAGATTGAAGGAGTTACACTGCATTTTTTTAAATAGCAAAATTAAAAGAAAACAAAACCTACATTAGGTGTAGCCAAGGACCTTACATTTAGGTTTATTTGATCAACCTTGTAAACGTACCTCCCCTGCTCCCTTGTCTTTGCTTCCTTCCACCTGGTATCTTTTATGCGGGGGAGGGGGTTGTATAATTCCATTATTTGTTCAACAGAGCTAAAGAGACTCTAACATAAACACATTTCCCCAGATTGCTACCCTGGTTCTGACCTCCCCCACTCCCCATCACTTCTCCTTCCTCTCTGGCTCTTTGTTCAAAGAGATTGTGCCCCAGCCAGTCGTTATCTTAATTCTTTTTAGTTAGAGTGGGATATTTGGTTTTAACTCAAGGATCACCTCCCATTAGTGTTATATCCACGCAGGATACTTTTTGAAATGGTATTTTTTTTGAGCACTTCACAGTTCATTAATTCAAAGACTTTGCTGACATTTCTTATGAAAAAGACCAGGCTGTAAGTCCAAGGATACTAAAAAAAGAAAGAAATGGAGGGGGGACCCTAAATAGAACTAGACATGTTCTGCACATACCTGCAATTGGCAGGATTTCACAGGAAGTATTTTTTAGCCATCATTTTACCTTGAAGGTAGTAACTCCTGAGATACCATCAGGAAAGGGAAGGGCCAAGCTTTTAAAAAATATAGTTGATGAGATCAGTTCTATCATGACATGAGATTAATGTCATCAGGAGAATCAGGGATATTGGTAGACTGAAAAAAGAAAAAAACATAACAAGTTCCTATGACATAAGAATCTGGTTTGAGAATATCAAAACCCTATAAAAAGAAAAAAAGGGTGGCTTACAAAACAACCCAAAACAAAATTATGCTGTTCTTTGCACATTCTCTTTCAATCTCCCCTCTCCCCCTAACACACACACACACACACACACACACACACACAAGTTAGATAAAGTCTCTGATCTGCAATAAAAATTTTTTAATGTCTACAAAACCCCAAATTCAATTGAGTAAAAACTTTGTTCTTGCCCCCAAATGGCTCTAAATGTTAATATAGGAGAACATGAGAAGAAAAGACACCATGGAAGAAACATTCTCAATTCATTGATATGACTTAATGCATTAAAGGTGTAGCCTAAAGTGACTTTTAACCCAAGTCTGGAGAACTGTGTATCATTATCCTGGAATGTGAGAGCTGGGAAGACCCTTTGTGGGAGGGCATGTGGTCCTTTGCATCATTTTACAGATGAGGAGAGGAAAGCAGCTTGCCCAAGGTCATAAGCCAGCCACTGACAGGGCCAAGACTAGGCCACAAGAGGCAGGACAAAAGAAAGGTGAATGGTTCTCCCCCTCCCCCGACCACACTCACCTTGAGAAACCTTACAGCATTCCAAATTCTGCTGACATGGCTTAAGCCATATTTTCGGAATTCCCTTCCTGGAATTGTCCTAAAAGCCTATTAGCTTGTTCTTTTTAATATCTCTGATGTCAACAAATCTTTGCCCTTTGATGTTTAACTTTGGGAAACAATGCCTCTCCCCCCACCCCTGCCCAACCAAAAAAAAAAAAAAGTTTATGCTATTTAGAGTCAAAAAAGAAAATATGACTAAAAACAATGATGCCAGTTTTTTTATTAGCACTTGAATGGATTAAAGACAATTCTCAAAATGTTTTAAGCAGTAGAATTCCTGGGGCTTTGTTTTCCAGGATAGCTACTTGGAAAGGAATAATATTTATTTGAGCAAATTGAGGTCTGAAATGTTCATTTTTAAGATGTTTTCTTACTTCAGAATGACATCACTCACCAAAAGATGCACTTTTTGGGCGTTAGGTCAGTGACATTTTAAAGTGATCCAACCTATTCAGTTGATCCCTGAATTTGTGGTAATCCAGTGGCAGATAGCCTGCAGAGTAAGGTCTTATTTTATTGTGGTGAGGACCTTAATGTTCTTGTATTTTGAGGGAGACTCAAAGTTGAGACTATACGGATTCAGAGTGAAAAGTTATTTTGTCCTGTGCAATATAAACAGATGAACGAATGTCACAACCTTGAAATCAAAGATGATGAGAATTTATTTTAAATTTTAAAATAGATTTTTAATGAAATGGCATGTGAACAGCAGGGTCCATATCTTGCCAAGTATAGGATCTGAACTTACTGATTTTATCTCAATCAATCCTGCAATCATAACATTACCCAAAGTACTTTTTATCTAATTAATAAAACATGTGCAAGTGAACTTCTGCATTCTGTGATTTCTACAGTGTGGTTTTTGTTTTTTGTTTTTTGTTTTGTCAGCCATATGAAAGACAGTGGCAATGAAATTGTCAGCAAGGAAACAATCAAAAAGAAAACACAGGCCTCTGTTTCCGTCTTCCGGGGTCTCACTCTCAGAATGAGTTCCACCAGTTTTTAAAGGCATAAAAACAATGATAGGATAGTTTGAATTGAAACCAGGAGCTTGGTGGAAAAAACTTTAGCACTAGGACCTCTGGGGAAGAGAAAACAAGATGTTCTTTAAGGGGAGCGACGGCCCCTTCTAATATTAACGTGGGGACAGCTCGTTTGGTCGCCTCGTGTTCACCAAACCCTCGTATCACAAGTTTGTACAGAAATCATGGCTTTGTCCAGGGGTAG